ATATAATATAATTTGCCTTAATAGTGCAACAATTTGATGGTATTAACACATGTATTCATAACATCAATTATTTTTTCTATATCAAATAGATGATAGCTGATTTTGAAGTCATCTCCATATTGAATTAAATTTGTGCATTTATTTTTAAAGGTTTGTGAATCCATCTTAAGCCGTTCACAAAAYATCTGATCARKGATACACTGCTGCAGGCAGACAGATTCCTGCAGGACCACTGCCAGTTTTTTGAAGCAGCTGAAGCCCACCATAGAGGCTTACACAATGCTGAACAGGACCACAAAGTCTCATCTACAACCTGGATGAYTGCAGGAGCTGCAGTGGTGCTGTGGCTCTGTACCAGCTGCTCTTCATGAAGAACAATCTGCAGGACACCTTCAGAGACTGTGGCTCTGCTGAAGGTTCTCATCTCACCTCCTCTGACCACAGCTGAATCTGAGAGGAGCTTCTCAACACTGAAGACAATCCAGACTTTCCTCAGGTACAACGTCACATCTCACTGCACTGACCATGCTCTATAGAGAAGAATCTGGTTAAAACATCCCTGACTTTAACCAGAGTCATGAAGAAATTTGCTTCTCAGTAACAGAAGAGCAAAATTTATGTACAAAACATAAAACACAACATGCCATTGTAATACCATTTTTTAATGCTTTTAAATTATTTCAGTTTATTTAATAAATACACTGACATAAAACAACTTAGTACATGTGTGATTGCTTTTTGAGATATGTTTATTTTGGAGTTGTAGCCCCAATTAAATTATGAGTTATCCCGATATTTATATAAATGGGGGGAAAATTAAAAATGTTAATGAATTTTCTTACCTACGTGTGACCTTAGATCCAACTTTAAYCTTTAAAAATCATGCCAAAAAACTTAGAAAGTCCTCAACAGCCTAGTTAATTTTAGGTAAATACGTGGCTCTCTAACTACTGAGGCATCCCATATTTGCCTGAATTCTATGATTTTTTTTCATGTCTTTTATATTGTATAAGTGGTTGGTCACAGGCATGCAAAACAACGTTGAAACATCTTGAATCGATATATAAAAATGCTTTAAAGATTCACAAGAAATCTAGACAATATCATTACTGTCATATTCTCTCAAAATATGATTTTTTTTAACTTAGAGCATTTGATATTTTATGCAAACATTTGTTTAGTTTACAAAATTCTTCACAATATTGCTGCTCCACCTTTAAGAAAGTTTGTCCCTTTGAGATCAGAAAACATGACTCACAAGGGCGACCTCTAGAGGTGAGTGCAGCATCTCAAAATGTAGAACTGCCTTTAATAAAAATTTATTTCTCCTTTGTCGCCACAAATCACTGGAATAGCTTACCAAAGAACATTATAACATGTTCCACTTATAAAATGTTTGCACATTTGGCAAAAACATGGCTGTTAAATAAGCAGATTTGTACTCATAACTGATGAAAGTAAGGAGAATGTTTTATGTTTTTTTAGTTTGTAGTTTTTGTTTTTAATGATATTTGGGTAATTGATTTATTGTTTTTGCATATGTATGTAATTTTTTTTTACTAAATTGGCTTGTTATTGTTTATTAGAACATGTTTGATTACATCAACCTGTCCAGAGACTGCAGGTTGAAATTAGCATTCTTTGCTATAACCTGGTACCATGCATCTCTCCTTGTAAAAGGTTAATGAAATGTTGTACATTGTCTCTGTATAAATAAATAAACAAACAAACAAACTGGAGAAAAATCCACCAGCCGCCACTGCAGCACACCCACTGACAGGGAGAGATGTCAGGAAGCTGATAAAAATCCCCGGGAAGTGAAACAATGCACTCCCTTTGAAATCTGTTCTGATCAAACTCCCTAAATGTGTTTAAAACAAAAAAAATTGTGGACAAGTTGCTGAAAATTTGAGACGTTTAAGGAATGTTTGGTGTGTATGATTGTGACAGCCGATTGCTTGCTCTAGGAAAAATCACTACCCAACATATTTAATTTTTATTAATACTTTCTGTACTAATTTTTAGTCCTGCAGTGAAAATGTAAAAAAGAAAACAGTCCTGTCTTTAACCAGGTGATTCAAAAATAAACTAAACTTTCACTTTCGTGTTCTGAAGGCAGGCTTTTAAAGGAGCTGTGGCGGACACGCTGTGCTGCCAAACTTAAAAAGGAAAAAGGAACTGGCGGAGCACATTCAGTTTCTGACCTCCGTTAAAGAGTCTTGCCTGGATCTGCCTGAGAATAATGTTTTATCATTTTATTCCATCAGTGGGTTTTCTCATGACCCTTCTGTGTCTTTGCTGTGTGACCTGTGGTGAGTAAAGAGTTTTCCATCATAGTAACAGATAGGCTGAGTCATAATGTACAGATTTACTCACTGATATTTAAAAAGATTTCAGTCTGGAGTATATATTTCTCATTTTCCTTTGAAGATGTCATTTAGAAAAGGTATCTGTAATATTCTTGTAAGATACTGGATTGTGGAAATGACATTTTAGTTCAGATATGTGAAGATCTTTGTATTGCGTCATCATAACACTAATTATTTTTTGTTTGTTTATACATCTAAACTGTTGCCTGATATTTTTTGCAAAAACCTGTAATTTAAAAGACTAGTTTGAAGAGACGTTAAGGTCACATGCAGTCAGAGTGGGTTTGGTCATCTGACCCATCTCCAGACGAGTTACACCCACCTCCACCTTTGATCTCAGGATACTCCTGTCTACCTACACCCTCTGGCCTCCACACCACCACCAGTGCCCGGGCCTCGGGGGAAGACGTTAATCCTAAACCTAAGCTGATTGCTAGCTCAGAGCCGTTCACTGCACCTATCTTCTGCTGGGACTCGAGCGCCAAATAATCTCCTCATGCCAATAAAACGTCTTAACTGCCATCTTTCTCTGTGTGAGTCTTTCCAGTACACTTATGTGAAAGTATTCTTGGCACCAATTGGTTGCCTTCAGGCCCAGGCCTCCCTTTCAAAAGAGTGATCTCAGTGAGATTTGCCTGGTTAAATAAAGGTTAATAAATAAATAAATTGATATGATGAGTGGGTGGAGTGAGGCAGAAACCTGGGCCAGACTCAGAAGAGTTATGCTCTACCCTCTGGACTAGGAACACCTTAAGATCATCGACCCTTTTCCACTAGTGCCTCCTAAGTGTAGTGTCGGTACGGTCAGTGTCGGAAYGGGTCAGTTCGGGTGCTTTTCCATTGACGTTCCAGTCCGGTTCCWGTGGGTGTGTTTTGGGTGGTTGGTGGAGGTGGTTTTTGGGTTTTTCGAAGAAAAAAAAAGTTAATGCGCAAAATGAGAGATGGAAACACATTTGCCGAATAAGTTTTGAAATTTTAAAAATTTGCTAAAAATTCAAATTTAAATTGGATGGAAACTTAACTAATGTCACTGCTGCAACTGAAAAAATGGCTCCTTGAGTTGTTGGCGGTGACTCCAACCCCTAACCAATCAGTGACGAACAGTGTTCTGACGTCGCATTTTGGTGTCGACTGGGACCACTTGGAAACACAATGAAGCAGGTACTAAAAAAAGGKCTGGTTCCATGAATCTGGCCTAACGGAAAAGGCTTGGAACCGTACCGAACCGTATCGACACTACACTTTGGCACTAGTGGAAAAGGGAGAACAGGGGTGTCAACCTCAGCAACACGGGGCCAAACTTCAAAAGTTGATCCAAGCCAAGGGCCAGTTTTTGTCAATATTTATTGAAGAAAAGATGTATCAGATTATTTTTATAGAAATACAAATGATCTTTTTAAAATAATGTTTTATGTAGTATTTAGACTAGAGCATACAACAAATACAGAACAAAGATAAAACCTTGGAAAGACTCATCATTATAGTCATAGGCGTAATTTGCAGGGGGGTTAGTGGGGTTATGACCCCCACAATAATTTGATCAATTCAAAATAACCCCTCTAATAAAATTACATCATTTGTTCAAACACAATAGAAATTAACTGGTTAAGTAGAATGACGCAACTCTTGTTATCTTTAGGTAACTTTAACCTGATTACAAAATTTACATTGTCATATGTACGTTTAAGCATAATTGCTAAAAATGACATGCAGTGTTTTAGAGCGTAACCCCCCCCCACCCCCCTCCCAATGATAGACCTAAAGTTATACATTTGAAATTATTATTAGTTGATTAATTCTTTTAGGTTTACTTTTTGTGGTAATATTTTGTATAAAACATTGTGTTAGTATTTTCTGTGGCATTACTTTTATTTGCAAAGACTAAGTAAAAGAAAGCCTGGTACTGGACCAGAATGCAATGGGGTGGGCTTGTGGTTTTGCCAAAGAAGAAGGTGTGGTTGAACACAATGTGAGTTACTGGGAAGTTTGTTTAATTAAACAAAGGAAAACATCAGCATGGTTTTGGACAATAGATTTCTTTTGYCTGTGATGAAAAAACTACTCCATTGCAATGGTGGCCTTTTAAATAATTGAACTTTAAAGGAAATTGCCACCAGCATTCCTTTGTCAACAACTTTTTTTTTCTTATCTTAAAAATACAAAGCCCTGTTGGACCCAGTACAGGGCCGACAAGAGAACTGAAGGAAATCTTAATTATTTGACCTCAAAATAAGAATAAAATACAAAATAAAATAATAAATAAAGTTGATTCTTGGTTGCTCTTTCCACACTAAAATCAAAGATTACTGAAAATTTTAAACTTCACTTTTCTGGCCTGAAAGTTGGCCAGCTGTCATGAGAAGAATGCACTAAATACAGAGACAACAAAACTATTTTACATGTAAAGTCTTACACAGAACCAGATTTGGCCCGCAGGCCATGACTTTGACACATGCTCCAGAAGGACTCCATGAGGAGAAGTTACATGAATATTTTCAATGATGGCTGATTCATTTTTTTATTATCCTGTGTTTACTGCTTTGTTTTAACAGAGTCAAGCTGCCAGTACAAACCTGTGTTCACTCCATCCAGCCTGGTAGTGAAGTACGGTGGTGCAGCCATGGCAGAATGTGTTGTTTGCAAAGATGGCTGTCATCATGCTGGTTTGGAGATATCGGTGGGAGTTTCAGTAAGAAATGGAAGCACGTTATTTTGGAGAGTTACAAACATGACTGTGTGGGACATAGACCCCATATGCTTTTATGAAACGACTGTTTCAAACCACCAGTGTTTATCCAGTTTGCCTGTTACTGTCTACCGTAAGGAAATTAACTTTTTAAAATAATTTTATTATGAGGTTATAATCCATTATTATGCTTTGATCTCTGTGTTAATCTGTGTTGCTGAATTCTCAGAGCCTCCACAGAGTGTGTCCATCAGTGTTGTAAATCACACTGGACCTATGAGTGAGTGTGGCGAGTACACCCTGCAGTGCATTGTGGGAGACGTTGCACCTGCTGAAAACCTCACCGTGATCTTCTACGGGGGAGCGGCACCTCTGGGTCACAGGAGGTCGACGCACAGTAACGTGAAGGAACCGAGGAGTGAAACTTTCACTCTGAGCTTCAGCCCCAGCAGATATGATGATGGAGTCCAGTTCTGGTGTGAAGCCAGACTAGACCTGGGGCCTGAAGGACCGCAGCCCCCTCCTGTGGTGAAATCAGAACACCTCGCTGCAGCAGTCAGCTGTGAGGATATTTACCTTCAGTAAACTGGAAACAAGCACCTTTCCTAGACTTTTTGATTTTATTTTGACATTTCTTGTTTTCTTTATTTGTTACAGACTCGGTCTGTCCAGATAAACCTGTTTTCACTCCATCCAGACTGGTGGTGAAGCACGGTGACCCAGCCAGCGCCACATGCTCCTCCTCCAGGAACAACTGTCATGATGAGTTTTTACGTTTGAACGTAACTTTGGGTAAAGTGACTAAAAATGGACCCAAACTGTTCTGGACTGTAGATCACATGACTGAGTGGGACCCACAGATCGTTTGTTATTTTGGATTGGAAGATAAGCTGTGTCACGCCAGCCTGCCTGTTACTGTCTACCGTGAGTAAATTTACTGGTTTTAACAAAGATTCTGYTTGTTTTTGTGGTTGTTTTGTTGCTGTTGATGAGCTCTAATTAATATTTGTTTCTAGAGCCTCCACAGGGTGTGTCCATCAGCCTTCTGGTTCACCCTGGGCCTCTGACTGAGTGTGGCGAACACACTGTGCAGTGTACTGTGTTAAACATGGCGCCTGTTGAAAACCTCACTGTGACCCTCTACAGAGGACTGACACCACTGGGCCGCCTGAGCTCTAGCAGAACCATGAGGACACCGGAGAATGAGACCTTCAGCCTGAGGTTTGACACCAGGAAAGAGGATCTTGAGGCCCATTTCTGGTGTGAAGCAGAGATGGATTTGGGGCCTGAAGGACCGCAGCCCCGTCTTGTGGTGAAATCACAAAAATTCACCCCACCGTTTGATTGTAAGTCCCAACAAAAACATTTTGTTTTTAACCAACAAAAACCTTCATTACAAGAAAACATCTCTGAAGAATCAGTCACAATTATTCATATGGAAGCCCATTTCCGCTTAGCTATCTCATGAGATAGCTAAG